TCAGATAAAGGGGCTAAAAATACTAAGACCTCGAAACTTGAGAGCTCCAAGCCCGAAGCCGTACGCCCTAAACATCCCGGAGCCAGAGAACCCCAAGACTGCCAAAGACCTCCAATACCCCTTAGTTAAGGAATATACCTTAAATCATATTAGGGATCCTACTATACTTTAAGGTATATTCCTTAATTCAGGGGTATTGGAATCTCTGGGACCCCCAAGACTGCCAAAGACCTAAAGGCTTCCGGGCGCTGGAAGCACAGGAAAGCCTGGAGTCCGAGGAGGACGACTTAGGCACGTGGGCACTGGGATTTTGTGCATTTTGAAGACGTTGGGTTCAGGATTTAGGGTGTTGCGGCTTTGGAGCATTTCGGGGTTCCGGTGTAGGGCTTTAGTAAGGGGCTTCGGATCTACACGATTCTGGGAGGGAGTGGGTTGCTATTTTCAGATTGTTGTGTGTTCCGTGCGTGGCTTGACCTGAAACCTGCAGGGCCTACCCAGAGGGCGGCCGAAATCACTTGAATATCGCTTAAGGCGCAAGGCTGAGGTGTGCCGCTGAAATGGAGGGCATTGGGCTCTGGGTAGGGGCTGAGGCCCCTGGTCATGAGGGACCGACGACTTCCGTTTGGAAGGTCACAGCTTTGTTTTAACCAGTTCGAAAAGGACCTCTCCATGGCAACTGCAAGATCCGGACAGCAACTCGAGCAGATGCGATCACAATCAAGGCCGTGGCAAAGCGCATACGGAAAGTGAACCTCATAGTGCTGGCGACTTGCAAGGATAGTGCGTTACAGCTAACATGAAAGCTACAACTTCAAGAACACCTGCAACGCTGGCATGTCACAGTTGATTCTTGGGCAAGCGAGAGGCCCCCAGGTGTCTGCCAGCCAGCTTCGAGTTCTTATCCCTTGGCCCGTGGCTCTGAAGCGGCACAAAAAGCCCGCCGACCCTTCCCCCAGAGCTGTGGCCTCCTGGTAGAACCCCAGAGACTCCAATAGCACTTAATCAAGGAATATACCTCAAATCTTATTCGGGATCCTACTATAATTTAAGGTATATTCCTTAATTAAGGGATATTGGAGTCTCTGGGAAGCTGCCCTGAAAGAACCCCTGGCGGGAAAGAATGGGGCGCCGAAGACCTTCAAAGAGCCGCCTGCCGTAAAGCTTTGCGAGTCTTGGGGTTTAGGGGTGAGGGTTTAGGGGTGTAGGAGTTTAGTGTTTAGGGGTTAGGGTTTAGGGGTTAGGGTTTAGGGGTTAGGGTTTAGGGATTAGGGTTTGGGGGTTCTTGTTTCGTTGTTTGTTACTATATCTTTCGATTGTGGTGTATGGCTAACTGTGGGTCTCTTCGCCCAGGACCAGGAGTTGTTTCATCGCTGCTTCTAGTCTCAACTCGACAACACAATTGTGCCCCGATCTGAGTCTGAGGAAGATGTTGATTCCGGTTGTGTTTGTGCTCTTTGTCTTGATCCGGGCCATGGATCGCATCTTCCTCTACAGAGTGCAGAAATCCATGCAGAACTATACAGGCCCATCTCGGTGGGGACTTGCTGTTTCGCCGCTGCACAGTGTGCTTCTGTCAGATTGATGCCTTGAAGCCGTGTCTAAGTGGCGTCAGTGGCGTCTGAAGCTTCGGTCACGCGACCTCTAGCATCGGTCCATCAATTGTGGCCAAGGCTAGGGACGCAACATCAGACATCGGAAGAGAATCTGTGCTTCGCGGTGTGTTGCCTGCTTGAGCGGCATGTGGTGCTTGGATGCTAGCAGCTAGCAAAATTCCCGCAAGGAAAGGTCCCTCCAGTTCTGTTGCACGCGATGCCTTTGTATGCCTGTGACAATCCTACTTCGGTCACAAGTACTGAATCGACTCACGAAATGCAGGGTTCCTCAGTCCTCTTCTTCTCGTTCCACATGCGCCTTGAGAAAGACATGGAAGTCACCATGCTTCTTTGAGACCGCACGAGACCCCTTGTCCAGGCATCGTCATGAGCCTCTACTGGCCCCCGATGGTGCAGCTCATGTGTTTCTTCGTCTCTCTCGGGTACCTTGCCCGGAAGCGCTACCTCGACGGCGACAAGTCCTTCAACATGAGGTGCGAATGCCAGTAAACCGATGCTGAAACACAGACATTTGACGAAGATTCCCTATCGAAGTTTTTGTGGGATGTTCTCCGGGCGCTTGGGTCGCAGGAAACATCTAGACTTACAAACAATGTGCTCGCTGGCAGCCCGACAGGTCTCTCGAAGCACATTCTCTCTGTACATCCATAGTAGCGGCTGCAGGAGGTTTCGGGCTGCTGCAGTCAGCATTGTCATAGTTTACAAGGGATTGACAGATCTTGCCGTTTCCATGAACGTACTGCAGTAACTACTCTTCCAGTAGCCGATCGGCTCCAGCAAGTCTTTGCATCTCTTCGACATATCATAACTGGCCGCACTGGTTCCACATGGAGTTGCACGACAGCTACATTGATTGAAATCTCCTCCCCTCTCAGCAGCAAGCCTCTTTGCAGGTGGTTCTCTCCGTTCAGCCCGAGGCGAGTCCCGGCCAGTTGAGCACAGGGTGCAAAAAAAAGGCACATACTGAGACTTTTCCGTTGCCAGGGCTTCCTCGCAGGGGCCTGTGCCGCAGTGCTGGATTGCCCAGACACTCGGCATTCAAGCTTCTTTGGCATTTGCCTCGTCCCTGAGAGAAAAGCCCTGAGGTCAGGCTTGCGGATGTTGTGTTATGCGAACTGCACTGGCATCCAGAGGGCATCCTGAGAATAAAGGGTTGAAAAGCGACGCTAATTTTGGAAACGGTCTTTTTGCTTTGAGTATCCAGGTTTGCCCTCTGGGACCAGTTGAATGCCATCGTCAGCGCTTCCCGGCGGTGATTCCGGAGGGTCTGAGGGGGTTTTGGGCTTCCGCAGTTCCTCCGATGAATTGCATCGACAGCTCTACGACAGATACTTGCTTTGTCTCGACGCGAGAGGTGCCGGCATGAAGGTTGCAAGCAGCCTTATGCCGGACAGAAAGTCAACGCGGAACTAAGAACTTGCATGGACAAACCCAGGTGCTTGCAGGAGCAGTGACCTTTCCAATTTCAATTCCATAAAGTGCCGGTTGACCTCGTCTGAGAGCGCCCAGGCACCACCCGGTCCTTTCATTCCGCTGGTGCTGCAGACGCCGCTGAACAATTTGAACGTACTTTTCACCGCTCTTCGGTTCGCATTTCGTCGTTTAAGGCTCAGGATATTTAGTGGGGATTAGAGTCTCAGGATTTGGGGGTGCTGGATTTAGAGGTCAGGCTATCAATTCTGCAATCAGGCCTTCATCGCCTTCTTCTACCTGAAGACCCGCTACAGGATGGTCCACTATGCCGGAATCACCCTCATCCTCTGTTCCTGCCTCGTCGCCCGCTCAGAATCTCCGGTGTGCGTACATTTGCATGTATACATATACATGTGTGTGTGTGTACATAAAACTGGTTGTATATACACTATACGTTACATATGTACAATACCATGTATATATGTATTGCTAGATATGTATGTATGTATATATATATATACACACACATACACATGCGTGTGTATCTGTCTATGTACTCGTATGTTTATACATACATGCATGCATGCATGCATGCATGCATGCATGCAGGCAGGCAGGCAGGCAGGCAGGCATGTATACATATATGCATACAGATGTATATCAGGTGTCGTCGAATGTGCGAGCAGTGACAGTAAAGTGTATTAAAACATCGACATGCATGCAGGTTATAAGCAGTGTCGCAATGCCGAAATCCTCATTTCGGCCGGTAAGCGGGCAACGTGGGCCTGTGTTTCGCGCACGGCACAGCTAGATGTTGTTGAAAGTCTTGATGTTAGGGTGTAGGGTAATGCAAGTTTCTTCCTGGACTTTGGGAGTTGGGGTCTAGAGCTGGAAGTCCCGTATATGCGTCTCAGAGATTTCCAAGAGTACTTCGGACCTTGCAGCCAACACGCTCCCAGCAATTCAACACCCTTCGAAAACTAAACATCTCGGTTGCTCGCATGCAGCGAGAAGACCCCTCACAAAATCTCGAAACGAAGACGCTTTTCTGCGAGATGCGTGTGTGTGTGGAGACCCGAAGCACGAAGAACCAACAGACCACCCAGGTGGGTGTCGTGGTTGAGTTGCAGGGCCCTGCACCCATCCTTTGCAGTGGACTCAAGCAGGCGAAGGACAGCCACCGGCGGGATCCCTCGGGAAGAAATTGTACTTTGAGATTCAGGCTGTCTGGGGTTTACGGACTAGGAAAGGATCTTGGCTTCGTGCCAGGCTCCTCACTCCGGCTGAGTAGTGAGGCGAGGAAGCCCCCTGATAGCTGGAGTCAACAGCTCGTGCTGGAGTTGGATAAGGTCGCTGAAACTGAAGCAGCTAAGATTTTCATGATATATCAATACTTGTTTGAGTGCAGCCGCCGCTTGAGGAAGCCATGAGCCAGTCTTCGGTTGCTGCCCTGGTCCCGGAGTCGGTCCGGGCAAAGGTTACCGAGGCCTCGGATGATTGTGCCTTAGCTGAGATCGCACGGAGGGTTTAGGGGTTTTGGGTTTAGGGTTCAGGGTTTAGGGGTTTAGGGTTTAGTGTTTGAGTT